AATTGGTCGTAAAATTTGATAACAAGTTGACCATTAAAATCTATTGTAAATATTTATTTGAATTCGTACACCGATATTGTTTCAAGTTGTTTGTTTTCAATATTATAGCTGTTTCATTACGATGACAATGTTTTGAAATCGTACCGTACTGTATAACACTCCAAAATTTGTTGTATGGGCAAACAACAGAAGGCTCTGAATTTTTACAAGTTAACCAAGCGTGTTGCTGCATCATTATTGTTCAATTACGATCACTATTCAAACAGAGAGCAGGCTGATAATTTGTTTTTCCCACAGCTATTTAGATGTCGTTGTTGGTAACTTTTTTTCTTAATTGTGAGTGTAAATATTCTTTAGTTAGTCTTTATACTGTAGATAAGAATTGTAGATAAATAATGCACATAAAATCAATTGTCGATAGAGAACGGCGTCAGTCATCTTATTAGTCCCATATTAATAGTACCGATATTTTGAATATTCCTCTTCCGCGAATTGTTTTATTGACAGTGACTTATCTAATTCTTATATAATCACTATAACATTTTAATCGAAATAGTTCACCATATCATAAAAGTTTGAATACCCACCCAATTCGTTGGCGATCCCCAGTGTATGTTATGTTAATGAAGCATGTCATACTGTACGACAAGGGAATGTGTATTACAATATGCCAGTACGTATTTTTTAGATTTTGACGCACTCCGTTCTGTTGTGTGTGTCTGCTATTGAAAACAAACTTCCTCATTTTGTGACTCGCTATGATGACTGAGATGGACCATGTTGATTTATTAATAATATTTTGTTTGGGATGGAAAAAAGGAGAGTCAATTTCCCAAAAATGCTCCATCAGCAAATAGTTTAGCGTGTGCTATGGAGAGTATGGCTATGGAATTTACTAACCACACAATCCACAATCATGAAGTCTAGCTGCATTTGGTGGATTAAGTCGCAAAACTTTTTCTTCGTTTGGTGGCGCCATTAATTTTACTCTAGGTAGACGGAGACCGGTTTTGTTACTGGTTGGTACATTTCTTACAAACATTCAGCCAAAGGCCAGTGAAAGTTTTTATCGATGCTTGCCATCCTTATGGGCGCTATCGTAAAGTCATGGTTTGCCGGAGTTCAATTTAAATCTCCGAACTTCTGAAGCTGAGATATTCTATGAATGTAGGCTTGTATCGCAGGCTACAATTTAAAAAACAGGTGACCAATTTAAATAAATTAGGTGCTAAATTTTGATTTAATGCTGGGTAAGTTAAAAACAGACATTCTTTCCGAGTGGGACTCATTCAAAAATTCGAGGGGGTTCGCTAGAATACAGGGGGTTCGCTAGAAAAGGGGGGTTCACCCGAACCATAAAAACCGGCCTGGCTACGGGCCTGGGATTCATCACTCGTCATCAAGCGCAAGCTCGGTGGTCTAGTGGTTAAGACATCAGGCTAGATACCTGGAGGTCGTGGGTTCGATTCCCACCCGAATCACTTGCGATTTTTTTTCGCTAGTATTTGGGGACGTATTGAGTATTCAGTACGATATCACGTCAGGTAGGGCAAAACATCACTCCTATGATTATTTCCTGACGCAAACTTCATATCTTTATAGCAAGGAAGCAAATCAAAACGGATCGTGGAAACAAGTATTATAATTACAGTAGTTTGCTTTAGGTCTAGGCTTAGGCCCACGTGTATGCAAAGCTCACACAACCGTCTGCACGAGTTGTAGCTTCCGTGTACCGTTCTGGAGTTGTGCTGATGGCAAAAAGTAGCCTAGAGAGCTAGAGAGTGCAGGCCTACCTTCCTACTACATCATACATGCTAGGCTTACCTGTCTCCAGTTTTTGCTGAATGTCTCATCATCAATATATGTTACGTGGAGACTGAACTGTGATAAAAATATGTTATGTGTGTAGTAACAACTACACACATAGAATATTTCTTGATCGTCACTCATCTTCCATAATACGAAATAAAAATAAACAAATGTGCTAAGGGCTAAAGTTCAAACATCGTATGGTGGATTTCACTGTGTGGTGTGCATACAACCAAAGAGATGTTGGAACAATAAACAATCGTCGTTGCCTTTACTTTTTTCTGATTGGACAATATGTATCCTAATTCCAAGGGTCAGCTCTGGCGGTGTATTTTTAAAATTAAATGTCCCATGAACGAAAAGAAGTGTACGTCTAGGCTAGACCCACCGAAGATTGCTTGATTTAAGCAGGAAATGGCGACTGTTTTAACGGAGAAAAGTAATAATATTCAAGTTGAGATTGTCTCTCAAACAAATTGCGTAAATGTAAGTGAAAATTATGATAAAATATTATTCTATATTGGTAATAAAAGATATGATGAAGTAGGCCTCTAGGCCTAGGCCTAGAGCCTAGTCTAGGCCCCACTAGGCCTGGGCTAGGGAAGTTTAGGCCTAGGCCGGTACTACTAGGCCCCTATGCCCTTATGGCTAGGCCTCTATGCCCTTATGGCTAGGCCTATTTCCTCTAGCAGTACACCAATCAATTTAGTACTACTACAGTCTACAGTAGTAGTCCCTAGTTAGTAAATTGATATTAAAATTACCTTTTTTCAGTACGAGCGGATACTACTTTTTCGACTCATCAAGCGAAAGCTAATTTGAGCGGATGTGTTTATTTGAGTGCAAACTATATCTGTATACCCTAACTAGGCTAGGCCCAAGAGCCAAGGGCAAATTTATCCAAAACGAATGATGAGATTTTTTGGGGGTGTTGGTTTAAATGCTAAACTGTAGATTAATGTTTTGAAACATTTTTACTTTTAATATTGTTAATATTATTATTCCAGCCAGGTTTTAAATTACAGAGTAGGTGCATCCGACCACAGCTCACGCCCTCCCCCCCCCCACCCACCTTCCATTAGATACATAATATTATGTCAAACTTTCATTTCATTAATTTCAGTGTTACATGTAGGTCCGGGCAGCAGTCTTGAGCTTGTGTGGGGGGGGGGGGCGCGGTGGTGATGGATGGCTGGTGGGTGGTGCAGGGATCACAAGTTGAAAGAAATCCCTCCTGGGAGATCTTGTTTGAGGAGCTTTTTTATCACATCTACCGTAATTTTATTTTGGTATGCATGGTGGTACCAATTATCTCATGGCTTCCATGAGACAGTTAATAACAAAGTAGAAAAAAACATGCAGATATTATGAATTTGAGCTGCAGTAGATGGGTTACTTTCCAAGAGGTACTGTTTAACTACTTGAGCATGATTGACAAATAGGTGGAGGGTGAACAAGCTTTTCGTGGTGGAGGGGGTGGCAAGGCATGCCAAAGCCAAAAACCTGTACAGTATGTGTAATTGTTCAGTTACAGGTATAGCAAATTTGAGTCCAGAGAGGGCGAATAACTAGCAAATCAAATTTTCAGTCAAAATAAGAAATTCTCACAAGTTAAATGTTCATTTTTCACTTCAAATGGCATCTGCTCGAAGTACATCCACTTGAATTAGCATTCGCTTAAAGTGGCATTCGCTCGTATTGACTGGTTCTTAACTAAATTCGTCCACATTTGCACAATACCAAATTGTTTTTACTAATTACCGTAGGTCTACTCAAGACCTAATAGGTTTTGTTTATTATTATGCAAGGATGTCAATTAATAACTTTTAAATTTTAGATTTTAAAGTTATTACCTGTAATTGACATTTTAAACTTTTTAATGATACTTCCACAGACAATTTCTACATCTAAATGTCCACCGCAAGTTAAAAAGAAACCTTCTTGTCGCTTGAAAAAGGTGAGTTCTGTATACGTATTTAATAATGTAAAAATTTTTAAGATTTTGGCGTTTTTAACAACTCAAATTATAAAACAGCGAATGTTTAATTTCCCCATTTTTTTTTTTTTTTTATTGTAGTGGTTTTTTTTTAGTCATATGAAAATTGTTTACATTTTGATTTTGTTAAATTTATTAACTTTCTTGGTTGTTAATTTTGCTAAATGCAACAGTTCTTGCTTTGTACAGAATGCCTTTGGTTTGAGAAAATGATAAAATTTGATATTTAATTTCAAAAACTATTTAGTTACCCTTATTATGTTTCTTGTATCTAGGGCTTAAAGGTTTGGATACATGACAAACAAGAAGTTTGGGTACCAGCTTGTGTTGTGTCCTGTATGTCAGATGAACGGATAATAGTCAAAAAATCTGAAGTGGAGGTAAGACTTGAATCAAAAATTTCTTGTTGTCCGAAGTGTGGAAATATCAATAGGATTATTTGGTCTTGTAGGTCCACAAAAAAATCATTTATTTTTAAAAATTTCACCACATTTTTAGGATGTTGTGATTCATGGTAAACCAGGCTACCCAGTACTGTATGGCTCCACTGATTGGATAAATACCGAGGATCTTGCGTTACTTAACCCATTGTCTGAGCCTGCTGGTAAGTGTAGATCTACTTACAATACTAAGGCATAGTTACACTTTATTTTTGATTTTTGTTAACCACAAAATGAGAATTGGAAAATACTGTACACAGAAGGTCAGGGAAACTTAAAATTATGTTTAACCCTTGAAATATTTGTAGTAACTGGATATGCCACAACAAATACTGTATACAAAAATTTGATGCACTAAAATCACGATAAAAATAAATGAATCGACGTAATAAACACTAATATAATTTTTAAAGTATTTCCTTTTATGTTATTAAAAAATTACATTTGGCAGCTGATGTGATTCCATAGTGAATGCAACAGATTGTTGATTGTTGTGATGACCTACTCAGACAGTCACTGACAATCAGCGTGTTAAAGCGCTCACAGTTGTTGGCCAACATTTGTACAATGCGTGTGTGGCCAGCTTTACACTTCATTTACATGTGTAACCCAATTTCGTTTCTGCCAGTGCTTTACTGTTTGCGTGAGAGATACTTGGCTGGGCGTTATCACACTCAGACGGGAAGTACACTTGTTGCTGTGAATCCATTCAAGGAGACAGGTCTCTATGCTGCTTACGTGATACATCAATACCATTTGAACCCAAAGGTTTGTCAATCAATCAATCAAATCAATCAATCATTTGACAGTGATTTATTATATATTGCATAAATATAGATATTGGAGAGCTTCTGTTATTTCATTTGAGAACCAATCTGCCAAAAAAATTTCCAGTTCTTGGTAATGTTTAAAAAAAATAGTGAGCTTTCACTATCCCGTTTCATGTTCCCACGAGAACCAAACTCTTGGTGGCAGTACAGCCGGTTTGCTACAGCTGTGGCATATGCTTGGGCCGTGGTGGCACGATGATTGATGTAATGGTACGGTATGGCTGGGACCTAGCCTAGGACGAAATACATTGGCTATGATCAATCATTGGTTACAATTGGTTAGTCTGTGAAAAATTTGAGTGGATTTACAATCAGTGTTTACTATAATGATTTTCTCAAGGTGGTATAATCATTTAATAAAACCAAATTCCATTGAAATATTGCAAATAAATTCTCGATTCATCGCCGAATCCAGCGGCTGAATATTGGGTTTCGAGTGCGAGAAAACTAAAAGTAGAGACAAAAATATGCACAGATTGGTTCTCCAATGAGAGAACAAAAGCTCTCCAATAAACACGCGTCTCTTTCAGATTTAACAGAAATCCTGTATGTCAAATTGCTATTGCATTATCTGATTTTAAGGTATAAATATTATTATGGTGACAATGTTTCTGTGCTTACTTTCAGGTTCAACGACCTCATGTATATGGAGTTGCGGAAGCAGCGTTCAATAATCTGAGTAGAAGACTAGGAAATATTAATCAGTCAATTATTGTCAGTGGAGAAAGTGGTGCTGGAAAGGTACAAGATATTCCAACACAGTATACACAAATGAATATTTATAAATTATAAAATAATATTTGTAACTCAGTAATTTCATTATGTTGTATGTCATGGAATTTGAAAGTTACTGGAAAAGTTTTGATAAATATCATTTATACTATATATAGATAAAATTTTGGAGAATTTTTTTTTGTACAAAAAATAAGAATAAGCATTAAATCATATTGCAAGTATTATTTAAATGTATAATTTAACTTAGGTTTTCATCCCGTCGAGGCCTTTAGCCCCCTCGGTCGGGCAGGTCCTGGCGCCACCCATGTTCCAGCTTGTATTATTAATTTTAAAAGAAACCGGTTTTACCGCAGCTCTCTTGAGTCGCTCCCATCCGATCGTTTCTCGACAGTTCATCGTTGTGCGCTACTACACCCGTTTTGGTTGTAGTTGCGCACAGTGATAATGAATAGGATACAATTCAATTCAGTTAATGGGCAGTGCATCGAATGCATAAGTTCACCTCATGCTCAAAATCAAACTTACAAGTTGTTACGGGTCCTTAAATATTAATGTATTATGCAAAACATGCCTTTAGCTACACGATTTACACTATCATATGACAATTCCAGCTTGTATTATTAATTTTTAAAAATCCGGTTTTACCGCAGCTCTCTTGAGTCGCTCCCATCCGATCGCTTCTCGGCAGTTTATCGTTATGCGCTACTACACCCATGTTGGTTTTAGTTACGCACAGTGATAATGAATAGGATACAATTAAAGTCAGTGACGGGCAGTTCATCACTGTGCACAACTATACACATTTTTGATCTAGTTGCGCACAGTGATAATGTAGAGGATAAAATTGAAAAAAATGCTGTGCAGTTCATCACTGTGCGCTACTATACCCATTTCGGTTCTAGTTGCACGCATTGATAATGTAGGCCCCTATAGGATAAAAATCAATTATTATTATTATTATTATTATTTTGTGCAGTTTATCAATGTGCGCTACTATACCCATTTTGGTTCTACTTGATTAAAAACACATCGAAGGACAAGACTGTGTTCTGGTAAGAAGTCAAGAACTTTCATCCAGGCTAATTCCCTTCAGAAATGTCTTTCGGACAGTTGGTCTGGTAATAACGCTGCCCCCACCCCCATTATGGCAACGTTGGATAAGCGATACGTTTTGTTTTTAAGTAATTATGGAATAAACAATACATAATAAGCATAAGCCTAAATTTTTAGGTGACCAGGATTCCTTTCTTCCTTCAAGAGGTAGTGAGTTAAAACGAGCTTTAAATTTTAAACTTGAAGCATGAAAGTTACACTTTTCTAATAAATACTTTTCCATTTTAGGTTCACTTTTGTATCTTATGTAATGTTTTAAGGATGATTTACTTAAAGCATTGTTATACCAACTTATGTTATCTTTTTTAGTATTTTTTTTCTTTGAAGCCATTAAGCCATTTTGTACAATAGTCAATGTTAAAGAACATTTGTAGATCAAATTTATTTAAAATGGATTCAATATAGTTAATATTGCCGTAGTAAGGCATGTTTATAAATCCCTACCTTTTCAAGTGCTAATTATTGCCATGTGACCTTGAATGAGCTGATTACAGGACATCTTATCTCACCATGTTAATAATCAGAGCTAAGTTAGTACAGCCCATATTTCGTGGTACAGTTGTTGCA